CGCGGTGGTTCACAAACGTTTTAGCTCGCAGATTAATTCTTTTGAACTAAAAAAGGGCTCAACTCCCACTTTCACCATGTTGATCAAAGATGTTATGCAACACCTTAAACTGCGCCATAAAAAAAGGTTAACGGTAAAATTCCAGCAGCTGGGCGCCTAAAACATAACAAAAAATAACTGATGAAGAGTTCTGTTATTATTTGATTTTCTTATTTTAATCTGAAAGTTATAGAACTATAATTTTCACAACACAGCTTAAGGCTGAGCAAAGAAGGGAACACAGAACTAAAAATATGTTTATTTTACATAACTAAAAGAGAAATGAAGCTAAAGACAGATTGCTGGAGCCGATTGCCTCCAGCTTATATAGTGTTGTCACCAGACCCGACTCCGCCCACCAGGCTCTTGGGAGAGACCTGCTCCGAGCATCGTCACAGTAATAAAAGTCATTATCTGTGAAATTACAGTAATTTTTGCTGTTTTCACTTATAAAAAACATTTATTCAACGTTTTTGTTGTCCAGACTTCTACAATTATACAAGATATCTGTCAATTAACAAACAAATCCATGTAAAATTACACAACAAATACTGGTTTACTGTTAATGTCACAAATTTGACATCATTTTAGATTATTTCATTATTCAATCTTTTTATGTGAAAAAAAGGAAATTTTCTTTAAATAAGCAGTAATTTTATGATTGTTTACAGTTACATATTTTTCATGTTATTTTACATTAGACATGTAAATATACAGGATATTTATGTAACTGTATTAACAATTACATGTATTTAAAAAATACAGAAAAAATCTATAAAATAAACGGGAAAACTTACAGAGAATGGCATAAATCTACACACTTGAACCCATAAACCTATCAGACTGGACCGATAGAGACACCGACTGTTACATAAATATATCATAAAATCTGATTATAATATGTCAGCTGATATTTATTTAGTTTTTACATCATGAAGAAAATAATAAAATAAATGTATTGTTTATTATGGGCTGACATATGGGCTGATATATCTGTCTTACACACTGTGGACAGTAAGGTTTCTGAATGATGAGCTGGAGGTAAGTGAGACAGTGTTTATGTAGGATGGAGGTTTTTGGGTGAACTGACCCTTTAAGACCTCAACCAGCACTCAGTGTTTATGTTCTTTGAGTGGAACACGTTCTCTGTGCTTCAGGAACAAGTGGAGTACATCTTCCTCATCATCTTCACTGTGGAGACCTTCCTGAAGATCCTGGCCTATGGTCTGGTGATGCACCCGAGTTCCTACATCCGCAACGGCTGGAACCTGCTGGACTTCGTCATCGTCATCGTCGGGTGAGAAAACGCGAGAACCGGCGGATGTGTCGGTTCTCTGTTATATACTGATACAGGTCTTTTTTAGATAATGACTTTGTTTGGAGTAGGGCTGTCAAAATTAACGCGTTAATGCGAGATGATTAATTTCTGGAATTAACAGCGATCATTTTTCTAGCGCATTAATGCATTCCCGCCCTGTTTTACCCACAATTCAACCCCCGCCAAGTTCATCCCTCGTCACGTAAACAGCATGGCTGACACAAGCGAGATGGAGGAGTCCAAAGAACCCGTTGGCCCTCTGGATGGACAGTTCGAGTATAAAAAAAACAAAGATGGAACAGTAAACAAACATGTTGTGGTTTGTTCACACTGCAGGAAGGACTTTTTTATTAAAAAACAAATGTAATATCTGCTTCCTGTCATTTATCTTTCTATTCTGAGAACAGTACACAGAAAATGTGAATTTTTCAGTCATATTTAGGATTGTGATTAATCGAAATTAATTCAAGAAACCTTGTGATTAATTAGATTAAAAAATTTAATCGTTTGACAGCCCTAGTTTGGAGACATTGATTCTCAGTAGACCCTGGTTCTGACTTCAGACCCTGGTTCTGTCTTTAGACTCTGGTTCTGTCTTCAGACCTGGGTTCTTCAGACCCCGGTTCTTCAGACCTCAGTTCTTCAGACTCTGGTTCTTCAGACTCTGGTTCTGCCTTTACACTCTGGTTCTGTCTTCAGACCCCAGTTCTTTAGACTCTGGTTCTTCAGACTCTGGTTTTTTAGACCCTGGTTCTGACTTCAGACTCTGGTTCTATCTTCAGACTCTGGTTCTTCAGACTCTGGTTCTTAAGACCCTGGTTCTGACTTCAGACTCTGGTTCTGTCTTCAGACCTGGGTTCTTCGGAACCAGGTTCTTCAGACCCCGGTTCTTCAGACTCTGGTTCTTCAGACTCTGGTTCTGTCTTTAGACTCTGGTTGTGTCTTTACACTCTGGTTCTGTCTTAAGACCCCGGTTCTTTAGACTCTGGTTCTGACTTCAGACCCTGGCTCTGTCTTAAGACTCTGGTTCTGTCTTCGGACCCCGGTTCTTCAGACTCTGGTTCTTAAGACCCTGGTTCTGACTTCAGACTCTGATTCTGTCTTCAGACTCTGGTTCTGTCTTCAGACTCTGGTTCTTTAGACCCTGGTTCTGACTTTAGACTCTGGTTCTGTCTTCAGACTCTGGTTCTTTAGACTGTGGTTGTTTGTTTGCACTCTGGTTCTTTGGACTGTGTTCCTTTGCTGCTCTCTGTGTGCAGTTAGGTTAGCACTGTTGTAAGATCAGCAGTAAATGAGAAGTGACTGCAGTAAACTCTTCTGTCTCAGTGGAGGAACAAACCCTCCAGCGATGCCACAATTTATCTCATTTTACTGTTTTTGTGTCTAGTGTTTGTGACAGCCAACTAAATATACACCCCCACCCTCCTACAACCACTATATAATGGAATTAATACTACTAATTAAACTAATACAACTAATATTACTAATACTACCAATTAAACTAATACAACGAATACTACTAATACTACTAATATAGATAATACAACTAATACTACTAATATAACTAATCCAACTAATACTACTAATATAACTAATATAACTAAAACTACTGATATAACTAATACTACTAATATAACTTAAACTACTAATATAACTAATACTACTAAAATAACTAATACAACTAATACAACTAATAAAACTAATATAACTAGTAGAACTAATATAACTACTACAACTAATACAACTAATACTACTAATACAACTAATACAACTAATAGAACTAGTAGAATTAATAACTAACACTGTGTTCATGTTGGAGCTCATTCAATGAATGTATTCACTGTTGGGTTGCTTGTGAAAAGTTTTCAGATCAGATGTTTCTTTATTTATCCCTCATAACGAAACAGTACGTAGATGAGAGAGAATAAAATACAATACAATGTAATAAAATACAGCAAAATATATCCACTATGTACAATATTTGAATTCATTCAGATTTTTATAATAATACATCATCAGCATATATTTGTTGACTATATTTTATATCAAATTAAGTGATCAAATAAAGTATTAGCATTAGCATTAAAATTAGCATAAGTAGTACAAGATCTCAAAAAAATGTATTTCAGCATACTACTCAGTTTAATACTGATGTGGTTCTTACAAAAGAAATTATAAATGTGGTTAAATATAAAATGGACAATTAATCCGATAGAGTCACCTGCTGAGGTCACAGCAAGTCCTGCAGGTCCTGTCCTCCATGTCGTCCTTTAGCTTCCTCGCCACAGGGCGCCGACGTGACTCAGGATGACCTCGGGGGCCGCGATGATGAAACCTGTCGTCATGGCAATGCGGGCCGAGGACACTCTGATCCACTTTAGAGTTGGAGACGATGCACCGAGAGGCTGCTGGATGTGGGACGCTGAGAGGGAAAATGACTCTTCTGATTGATTTGAATAATGTTTCACTAACATTATATTATCCACATATTAAAGGAAACTAGAAGAATTAATCAATAAACATCAACATCAGAAATAATCAAAACCTCTGCAGTCTGGCACAGGACTGTTTCTAGCTTCATTGGGCCGTGTGTTGTTTGTGGGATTATTTTTAACACAATCATTTTTAAAATGTTCGGTGGAAGTGGCAGTAGCCTCAGCGGATGTTCTGTTTGCAGCTTAATGCCAGACTCCATTCACAATTCGTTTTAAGGCGCAGCAGTGAGAATTAAGAACAAAAGGAATAACAGTCATAATTTAAAGTTTCCATTCTTTAATTGTGCCAACATTAAATATGCGGCGCTGTGGTGATTGTACAGGTTTCTCCTGAAATGTCTGTGGCTAAAATTGCAGCTCTGGGGGCCAAAGCTTCTTGTTTCCCTTCAGACTGGAGCTTCATTTCTGTGAGCTGGATCTTAAACATCTGTCTCTTGTCTCTTGTTGTTCTTTCTGCAGGTTATTCAGCGTCGTCTTGGAGACGATGACTCATAAATCTGGTGAGCAGGCGACCAATCATCATGTGCCGGGGAAACCTGGAGGTCTAGACGTCAAAGCTCTGAGGGCCTTCAGAGTCCTGCGGCCCCTCAGACTGGTTTCGGGAGTTCCCAGTGAGTTTACTGGACTGGAAGCAGGGTGTGTGTGAGTGTCCTGTGTTGTTGGAAATGTGTAAAGCTTTGTGTGTCTGTCAGGTCTGCAGATTGTGTTGAACTCCATCATGAAGGCAATGGTTCCTCTGCTCCACATCGCTCTGCTGGTTCTCTTCGTCATCATCATCTACGCCATCATCGGTCTGGAGCTCTTCATAGGACGCATGCACAAGACCTGCTACCACATAGGAACAGGTACCCTCACGCAGTCCAGGGCGAGTATCTGCATGACCTAAAGAACAACAAGTTATACAACAAATTCAGTGTTTCAGAGGTCTGCTTGTGAAAAGGGTAACAGAATCACTTACTGCTGAGAAAATGTTTGAAGTAAAAACTTAAATAGTTGGATGGCCGATAATTGTAACGTGTGAAGACGTCAAACATTCAGCAGCAGCTGTTTACAGAACTGTTTGCCTGGGAAGAAGGTGAAGCTGTGACAGAAGTCTTCTTCTTTTAATGCACCAATATTAAAGTAAGCCTTCAAAGAAATATCATATTAGTTCCTCACAGGCACTCTGGAGTCTGATTGTCTACCTATAGAGGGAGCTGTAGTGCAAAGCATTTGGGCCCAAGATTAATTATCCTATGGGGACAATAAAGACTATCGTCTCGTGTCTTAAAGTATCGTATGGAGTTGTATCGGATCGGCTCCAGAGTAACTCATTACAAAGTAGTGCTCAACAATCGTTGAGTGACTTTCTTGCTTCCAATTAGGAAGATACAGCGTCCTTCAACTGTGACACTGAGGTCATTGAATATTTCAGATCCTGAACGTTTCCCTACAATATCCATGAATGAATCCAACACCGTAACGCCGTCTAGCGCCAGTGGAGGAGCTCTTCAGTCTGACCTGTGAGGAACATGTTAACTGACAAACAATCTGAGAGTCCATCTTATAGAACCACTTCTTTAGTGATAAACTAATATCGGAATGTAATACATCGGCGTCATACCGTATCGTATTCAATCTAATTGTGTCATACAGTATGGTATCTTATCGCTCTGTACTGGATCAAATCAAACCGAACTGTTCAGTATGAGGTCAAGAAAAGATCAAATATCAAAACAGGTTTCAAATATCAGTAACATGCAGAGCGTCAAATGAAGGAACGTGCTGAGAGCTTCCAATAAAATATTTTTATGTTCCAGATAATTACGTGGAAGACGACCCGGTGCCGTGTGCATTTGCGGGTCACGGTCGGCAGTGTGTGATTAACGGCTCAGAGTGTCGGGGGAGATGGGACGGTCCAAACGGAGGAATCACCAACTTTGACAACTTCTTCTTTGCCATGTTGACCGTGTTCCAGTGCATCACGATGGAGGGATGGACCGACGTACTCTACTGGGTAAGAGCTTCCTTCATCAGGCGATTGGAAGTGAAAGAAGCTCTTGGTCCTGACAGCGATGTTTCCGTCTGTGTCTGCAGATGAATGACGCCATCGGGTTCGAGCTGCCCTGGGTTTATTTCGTCAGTCTGGTGATCTTCGGCTCGTTCTTCGTTCTCAACCTGGTTCTGGGAGTCCTCAGCGGGTTTGTCACAACATCTACTGTCCTAAAAATGGTCATATTCTAGCAGCTTCACAGTAAAATCACAAAATATAATTGACTCTAGAAAATACAGCAATTTTCTAGAATTAAAATACAGGTTTTAGTTTTAATTTTACATGAAATATAAATAATTACACTGTAAAACCAATGCAATGATCTATAAATATAGGTGAACCCTGCTATAATACAAATAATCAGGCTTACATTTACAGCAGAGTGCTGTTATTATTGGATTGTTAATTTGAATGTTAAAAGTTGTAGTAACTGTAATAAAACTCATTATCTGTGAGATTACAGTAATTATTGCTTGTTACACTGATAAAAACTGTATTTGGACAGTTTACCAATGCTTATACACTGATAAACAACATTTATTCAACGTTTGTGTTGTGAAAACTTTCACAAGATATCTGTTATATACTGTTAATTTAACAGATTTTAGATACTTATATGTATTAACAGTATTATACTTGAATTTAACAGTTTAATCTATTAAATAAAAAGTAAATATAGTTTATAGATTTCCAAATGTTAAAAACTGTAATTTTATGATTATTTACAGTTACAGATCTTTCATGTTATTTTACATTACACATGTAAATTCACAGGATATTTATGTAATTTTATTAATATTTCCATTCATTAAAAAAATTCAGAAGAAAATAATTAAAATAAACGGGAAAAACCCGTAAACGTATGAAGGCTGTGTGATCGCTGTGTGATGGGTGTGTGATGGTTGTGTGATGGGTGTGATGGGTGTGTGATGGTTGTGTGATGGGTGTGTGATGGTTGTGTGATGGATGTGTGATGGTTGTGTGATGGGTGTGATGGGTGTGTGATGGTTGTGTGATGGGTGTGTGATGGTTGTGTGATGGATGTGTGAACGCTGTGTGATGGTTGTGTGAACGCTGTGTGATGGTTGTGTGATGGATGTGTGATGGTTGTGTGATGGGTGTGATGGGTGTGTGATGGTTGTGTGATGGATGTGTGAACGCTGTGTGATGGTTGTGTGAACGCTGTGTGATGGTTGTGTGAACGCTGTGTGATGGTTGTTTGAACGCTGTGTGATGGGTGTGTGATGGTTGTGTGATGGGTGAGTGATGGTTGTGTGATGGATGTGTGAACGCTGTGTGATGGTTGTGTGAACGCTGTGTGATGGTTGTGTGAACGCTGTGTGATGGGTGTGTGATGGTCGTGTGATGGTTGTGTGATGGTTGTGTGATGGTTGTGTGATGGTCGTGTGATGGTCGTGTGATGAGTGTGTGATCGTTGTGTGAACGCTGTGTGAACGCTGTGTGATGGTGGTGTGATGGTTGTGTGAACGCTGTGTGATGGGTGTGTGAACGCTGTTTGATGGGTGTGTGATGGTCGTGTGATGGTTGTGTGATGGTCGTGTGATGGTCGTGTGATGAGTGTGTGATGAGTGTGTGATCGTTGTGTGATGGTCGTGTGATGAGTGTGTGATGGTTGTGTGAACGCTGTGTGATGGTTGTGGGTTGGGTGTGTGATGGTCGTGTGATGGTCGTGTGATGGTTGTGTGAACGCTGTGTGATGGTTGTGTGATGGTTGTGTGATGGTTGTGTGATGGTCGTGTGATGGTTGTGTGATGGTTGAGTGATGGTTGTGTGATGGTTGTGTGATGGTTGTGTGAACGCTGTGTGATGGTTGTATGAACGCTGTGTGATGGTTGTGTGAACGCTGTGTGATGGGTGTGTGATGGTCGTGTGATGGTCGTGTGATGAGTGTGTGATGAGTGTGTGATCGTTGTGTGATGGTCGTGTGATGAGTGTGTGATGGTTGTGTGAACGCTGTGTGATGGTTGTGGGTTGGGTGTGTGATGGTCGTGTGATGGTCGTGTGATGGTTGTGTGAACGCTGTGTGATGGTTGTGTGATGGTTGTGTGATGGTTGTGTGATGGTCGTGTGATGGTTGTGTGATGGTTGTGTGATGGTTGTGTGATGGGTGTGATGGGTGTGTGATGGTTGTGTGATGGGTGTGTGATGGTTGTGTGATGGATGTGTGAACGCTGTGTGATGGTTGTGTGAACGCTGTGTGATGGTTGTGTGATGGATGTGTGATGGTTGTGTGATGGGTGTGATGGGTGTGTGATGGTTGTGTGATGGATGTGTGAACGCTGTGTGATGGTTGTGTGAACGCTGTGTGATGGTTGTGTGAACGCTGTGTGATATTTGTGTGAACGCTGTGTGATGGGTGTGTGATGGTCGTGTGATGGTTGTGTGATGGTTGTGTGAACGCTGTGTGATGGTTGTATGAACGCTGTGTGATGGGTGTGTGATGGTTGTGTGATGGTCGTGTGATGGTCGTGTGATGGTCGTGTGATGGTTGTGTGATGGTCGTGTGATGGTCGTGTGATGGTTGTGTGAACGCTGTGTGATGGTTGTGTGATGGTTGTGTGATGGTTGTGTGATGGTCGTGTGATGGTTGTGTGATGGTTGTGTGATGGTCGTGTGATGGTTGTGTGAACGCTGTGTGATGGTTGTGTGTTGGGTGTGTGATGGTCGTGTGATGGTCGTGTGATGGTTGTGTGATGGTCGTGTGATGGGTGTGTGAACGCTGTGTGATGGTTGTGTGATGGTTGTGTGATGGTTGTGTGATGGTCGTGTGATGGTTGTGTGATGGTTGCAGAGAGTTCAGTAAGGAGAGGGAGAAGGCGAAGGCTCGGGGAGACTTCCAGAAGCTGAGGGAGAAGCAGCAGATGGAGGAAGATCTGTGTGGGTACATGGACTGGATCACTCAGGCTGAGGACATGGACGAACTGGACGAGGACGGAAACCCACGTAAGACACAGACACAGTGTGTGTTACTGGTTGTTCCTTCAGCTCTTTCACATTTTAAAGTTCTTTAAAACAAAGTCAATAAACGGATCAACGGATGCTGAAATAATGACGTCATGATGGAGATTTATAAAAACTAAATTCAGACAAGCAAACAACTCTTAAAATGCTTGTTTTCTGAATGGAGTTTGGTTGATCAAGGCTATGCTAACGTAGCTGGAATCAGTCCTGTCTTTCTTTCTTTTCTGTCCAGTGTCGAATTTCATCTATTTGTGTCTGAAATACATGATCTGATTCTGTCTCTCCCTCTGTCTGTCTCTCTCTCTGTCTCACTCTCTCTCTGTCTCTCTCTCTTGTCTGTCTCTGTCTGTCTCTGTCTGTCTCTCTCTCTCTGTCTCTGTGTCTCTCCCCCTCTCTCTCTCTCTGTCTCTCTGTCTATCTGTCTCTCTGTCTCTCAATTCAATTAAATTCAAATGGCTTTATTGGCATGACTCTCTCTGTCTCTCTCTCTCTGGGTCTGTCTGTCTCTCAGGTCCGTCTCTGGGCGATCTGTCTGATAAGAAGAGGGGGAAGTTCGGATGGTTCAGTCACTCCAATGAGACTCATGGTGAAACCTGGTTCTCTCTCTCTGTGTCTGTCTCTCTCTCTGTGTCTCTCTCTCAGTCTAAATGTAGAAAGACTGCCTGTCTCTCTCTCTCTCTCTGTCCCTGTTAGGTATCTGGGTCCCTGTCTGTCTCTCATATCTCTGACCCTGATTCTCAACAGCAGCTTTTATTCTCTCAGCTCAACAATAAGCTGATAATCAATCCATCAACGATCAATCAGTGTCTATATGCTGTCTGTGTGAGTGTGTGTGTGTGTGTGTGAGTGAGATTGTGTGTGTGTGTGTTACAGTGTGTGTGTGTGTGTGTGTGTGAGTGTGTGTGAGTGAGTGTAATAATAATAATAATAATAATAATAACACTGAGATATATCAGCTGACTGTGTATTGAACTTTAAATCAAGAAGTCCTGGCGACCTCCTGTTTGATCTTTGGTGACCTCTAGTGGGGCCCCGACCTTCAGGTTGGGAACCAGTGTGTTGTAGCTTTAATCTTCTGTCTGTGATGATTGATTGGTCATATGATTGATTGATTGACTGATCAAAGGAATCAAT